TGGATGTGAAGATCGCGACCATGTTATGGGTGACATCCACATTAATGGTGTCAAGGGTCATTCAGTAGACCTGGATAGAAACCTGTAACTTGCAGTGAAGCATTGACGATTGTCATCAAGTGAGTGTTCTTGAAGTGTCAATTTTAGCACTAAACATTTGAATCTGCAGTCAGACTATGAGCATATAAGTAAGCATTTGCTGAATGTTCAGTATGAAAGGCTTTTATTTGGTTAGTCTGTTTAAATTAATGACAAGCAAACGCATTGCCAAGATCGTCCAGAGCACGTACAACAAGCAGCTTAAAAGCTTAGTCCAACGACGTTGCTATAAATGTGTGCTAAGTGTGTTATTCTTATTGTTGTCATTGTCTTCGTCACATGAAGTGTCAGGTTCAAGGATCTAGTCTCCAGATTAATGATATATAATGCTTTGGTTAAGTGTGTAAAGGAACGAAGCGAGTTGAGATGCAGTGGGATATGCTATAGCGTGTGTTCGCCGTGCTCCATTACTTTCAGTTTATGTTGAAGGATTTTTCGCGTAATCAGTATCTTCTGCTAGTAGCCCTTGCTCCGCCGGCATGATTCCAATGCACCAAAATGCTCGATGTGTTGCACCGCCCCCTCCAGGTAACTGGGTGCAAGGGACTGTGCAACACGCTGTGAAATCTGGCCTTGGAGGGAGTAATACTTTATTTGACATAGTTGAGTATAAACAACTTATGAAAAAGTTCAGTGCTATAATGTTCCTCCTTTTCTTTGTATTCATCGATTCAGTCGATCAAGTTACGATTTCGCTTTACAACTCAACGAGAGTTGGACAACAGAATGCCTGAAAAGATTTCAGAAGGTCATGAACATGATCGGTTGTTAGCTCTATATCTGCTCGAGAATGGCGTCGTCGAATTTGTGGGTTGCAATAAGTGGTGACCATGTGCCGTTAATTGAGATGCACCGTTCAAGCTTAATGGCAGTGGGATGGATTGAATACGATTTTATTTATCATCTCGTCAGAGTTCAGGTGAAAGTTCACAGTTCAGTGGCTTAGGTTACGCAATTCTACAAGTTTAATTTATCGTGGGAATGCGCCCTGCTAACATACTTATATTTTTAAAAAGACACGGGTGCATCATTCAGAATGTGCCGCATCACGCTGGTGTATTTGAATGTAGTAACAGAAAGGAGGACGTCCTTTCAGCCTTAAACACCATGTCTCTATTTTTTCTTTGGGACAGCTCACGGTTACTCCTAAATACGGTATTGAATATCCTTTTCGTTCCTGTTGTCTCCGTCGGTTCACGGACTATTCGTCTGATGTCCAGTTTCAAGTGTACTCTTGCCACTATTAGTAGTCTTTCATGTTTTAAGTTTAATCCATCCGAATGAACTGAGGTAGTATTTGCCACAAAATAGAGCAACGTTCCTTTAAATTTATGCTATTAATGCATTTCCATCAAATAGTTTAAATATGATGCACCTAAGCCATATCTTAAGCGAGCTTATAATATTTCCTCATCGAAGTTGCTTCATCCTAATCGATTTATGGTAATCAATTTCACTTCAGTCATTCGAAGCTATTCGTTATCAACCGTCGTGAAGTTTATCAGGCTCTGAAACAGTAGATAAGGCGGTTATCAGTTATCAAGCGTGGTACACAGTAATAATTAAAAAATACTAAATCATCATAGATTTGCTGTGAATCTATATGTACGAATATATGAGGCTTTTTTCGTAACTTTTTATTGTCGTTTTTCGATTTTGTTGTGTGTGCGGGCAAAGAGTGACATCGTTAACTATAGGAAGTATGGCGAATTTCTTGAGCACTACCCTGTGGAGCTAGTTATATAGCGTAACTCAATCTTGAGAGGTTGTTGTGTAACGACTTCACGTGATGGATGTCGTGTCGGACATGGCAGCTGTGTATGAAGAATGTGCTAATGGCCTGCGCTAATTGGCCCTGGCATCCACAGAAGATGTATAAAAGCGCCATCTGGCATGTGAAGGACAGACTCCGATATCAGAGTGTACTTCTGCGTGTAAATAAAGTTGTTTGCGGTGTACGCTACATTTTCATGCCCAAATAACAGCTAATATTCTAACCGGTGAACATTTGGTCTCTGCATCGAACAACCCTCCGAAAATCGAAGTTGATTCGACTGGCTTCTTGAAAATATCGTTAGTCCTGCTTTAGTAGCGCGTTGCATATGATTCGCTTATTTTCTGTCCTCCATGGCTACGTATCGATTCCTCCTATTGACGAGGAAGTTGAATTCAAAATCATTCTTGATCAAATTACTTTCTGCACAATGTAATATAAATTAATTACAGAAGACCGATCGCGTAAGTGCAGTTCTTTTCGCCTGCTTGATTCATCGCTACTGATCGTAGCCATTACCAG